CAGTGTAAGCAGATTTATTTAGCAAAATACCTTCAGATGCAGTCATGTGAGCAGAAGCTCCAGAATCAGGATACCATATAGCCGGATTAGATTCTCCAGGAGTAGTCAACAGAGCAGGTGCAGAGGGCTGAGTAAAACGCAAGGGACAGGTAATGACAGAATGACCTGCAGAAAAGCAAATTGACACACAACGGGATTGGGAACAGAACCAAGAATGCCCCCATCTGATGGTAAGCCTGCAAACTTAGAGTTAGTAACACCAACATGTAATGGATTAATATTTAAATGTGACATGGCAGAATTACAAATGACAGTACTCGTAGTTTTCACATCCCCTGGATATGGAGCCTGCCTAACTGGAACGGAGGATCCACCCCCTGCCGCGTTGTAATCCACGTGAGTCTGCTGCGGGTACCAAAAGCCGGGTGGCACCTGCTGTCCTCGGCCTCTGCCCCTGCCACCGCGCCCTCTGCCGCGACCGCGTCCACGGCCTCGTTGCGGCTGACCAGAGGGGCGCTGCTGCTGTCCACCCTGCGGATGATGACCCTGCATCTGCTGGTTCGGTTGTGAGGTGATGGGCTGTCCAGGAAGGGACATGACAGCACCAAAGGCCTGATGGAATGACTCGCCCTGGGAGCAGAGATAAAGAATCCGCTGCTCTTGTTCAAGGAGATGAGTGCGAAGTTTCTCAAACGTCATGCCTGTAGTATACAGAGGGATTCATCCGTTGGAAGCCAGGCACGGTCGTACCTGGCATGGCAGGCACGCCGTGCCTGGACGCGAAAAAGTGTTTGCTCCGCAGGCACGGTCGAAGGCACGCCGTGCCTGGCGCCGTGTCTGACCCCGGGAACCCTAATCCTACTCGAATTTCCTCCCTTTTTCTATAAATAAGGTCTTCCTAACCCTATTTTTGGGGGATGGAACTTAGAGAGGGGCAATAGCACAAAATTTTGAGAGGTTTTTAGCCTTGTTCTTCAATTCATTGATATTCTTTGTAAGTTCCTACTTTTTAATTAATGACAATTATTTCTATTCTTCCTAATTCTATTGATTCTTCAATTATGAGTCGGGAATAGTTTTAATTAGGGATTTGGGATTGATGAAGGGATTAAGCATGATGTATGGCTAGATTTTTGATGGATTAATTGCATGAATGTCGTTTAATTTGTGTTTGAACAATTTAACTGATATCTCTTGTAACCTAGAACGGCCGCTATAATTGCAATTGCTTGTAGAATAAATTAAGAGAGATCTAGTTTATTCTGAGACACATTCACACACACTTAATCGTTCGCTAAGAGATTAGTAACGATTAAGGGGCCGTAAGCTCGCTCGTTTTGGCAATAATTTAGGATCCAATCGCATCAGAGATCAATCAGGTCCCCTAAATTACTGTACTCTACGTCGCGAGAGCGGTAAGAACTTAGTATTGATTAGCTAGACTCAATTAAATTAATTTCATGTAATGAAGCCTGATCTGCCAGAAATCTGATTACCCCGGAATCAATCTCTGTTCCCTTTGTCATTAATTAAGAAGAACCCAACCTTTTATTTTAATCGCTCATTCGCTTTAGTTTAATTTCAATTCAACCAACCAAATCTCGCACGACGCATTTATTTTATTTATTTTTAATCGCTGAATTTGTTTAATTCTTAATTCCCTTTTACCGTCCCTGTGGAGACGATACTCGTACTTACACCACTATTCTACGATCTATTTTAAGTGCGAGAAAACTCACATCATTCGGCTACCGGAAAAAAGCCAACATGTATCAGTAATATCATCTAGAAGACAGTTTTAGAGAAAAAATGGCATTTTCAAAGAGAAACTATAATCTTCATGACATTTTCAGAGAAAATGTGACACTTTTACGCAAAATCGCATTTTTCACTTATTGGAGGTGACATTGCATGGAGAGGTGGCAGAGGCTGCACAATTTGTCGAGAAAGGCATCCATACTTTTTTTTATCTTTTATGTGTTTTTATCAATTTTTTATTTTTAAAGTATTTTTATTTTTTGATATTTTTAATTTTTTATATTTTTATGTTTTATTATTTTCTATTTTAAAAAAATGATTTTTTATATTTTGGAAAATTTTATTATAAATCAAAATATTTTTATTATTTCAATTCTGTCTTAATTACAAATTAAAATATAATTTTGCTATTAAGTTATGTTAAAGGTAAAATATGAAGAGAGAGTATGCTTTAGTCCTATTTTGGAAAGATAAACAAAATAATTCTATTTAGGGAGATTTCCCAAAATAGGAGTAAATGAAGTTTGAAATTCCAAAATAGGACTACTTTGTTTTTATTCCCGAAATGGGACTAACATGACATTATTTACTGTCATCTTGTAGCTGTGACTGCCAAATAGTTGCAGTACAGTGCATTTAACATGACAATATTTATTATAATTAATGATAGTATTTTTCAATCATGACAGTATTTTTTCATACATGACAATAATAACTCCTATTTCGGGAAGAAAAACATACTAGTCCTATTTTTGGAATTCCAAATGTCATTTGCTCCTATTTTGGGTAATTTCCCTTCTATTTATGCTTTTAGGGATTTAATCCACCAAAGCCTCGTGAAATATAAATTCGGCACATTAGCCCACTGTGATTTAAAAAATGCGTCAACCCCCTATGTTATCATTAATCATGCGCCAAACCACCTCCAAGAACAAATTTAATTTCAAAAAAGATGAAAAATGATTTTTTTTGTATAATTTAGAATTTTGACAACGTTACTTGCATATTCAATTATGTTATTAAAAAACGTGATTTCAAAATTGTAAAATTTGTTCTTGAAAGGGATTTTGCGCATGATTAATTAAAACATAGAGGGGTTTGACGCATTTTTTAAATCACAAGGGGCTAATGCACCGAATTTATATTTCACGAGGAGGTTTCATGCATTTAACCCATGCTTTTAGAAATTAGTTTACTCCTATTTAGGACTATTTTTCCTTTTAGTTATCTTATTGAAAAAGTGGCCCATACATTACTAATGGACTTTTGGATTCCAAAAATAGGATGTTTTGACATTTTTAAAAATTATGACTCATCTTCCCTTGCACGTTCTGCGCAACCCCATCCATCCTTGAGGGTCCCCAAACCCCGATCGGACGTACATTGGGAGAATATAAATTGGACTATAATCCCAATCTGACAGATAAAGAGTGGGGATGTGTCCCCGGTACTTACAGAGGCCCTATGCATTTTTAGCACAGTAACCCCTCATCGTAGTTACCGGGATTTGAACCCGGGAACTAACCCTTAGCTTGTGGCACTCCCTTGCTACCAGTTGAGCTACCCCATCCAGCCACATCAGTCCGCCAGTGCAGCGTGCCAACATGGTAAGTCAGTGCCCCCCCTGTCAAGCACACAGTTGGGAAGCACATCTTGAGACGGCGAACCCCATACCATGCTTGAAATCCGAATTCAATCGTCATCAATTCGGAAGAAAGAGGCAAATTTACCTGCAACGTGAACAGTAAAATCGGGATTCATCTTCTCGGTTTTGATTTCTTGATCGTCGACTTGAGTTTAAGGATGACGTACGACTATGAACAATAGATTGAACACTGAATCAAAACACCCAAATCCCTGAATTGGAAGCCGCCATTGCTCATCCTAGGTTTAAGTTCCTATGGAGAGATCTCTCAACTTTTTCTTTTTTTCGCCGCCATTGCGGGATGGTGGTGTCGGTGGAGTGGCCAGCGACGGCGGGTTGGTGGTGGCAGCATGGCATCGGTAATAAGGTCGCCAGAAAATTTTCTGAACGGAGTGAGCGGTGGTGGTGTTACTGTGACCGGAGTCACTTTGACCGATGTGACGATGACCGGAGTCACTTTTGACCAGTGTCATTGTTGTCGTAGTCACTTCTGGTTGGAGTCAGTGTGGCGGCAGAGTCACTGTGGAAGCAGAGTTACTGTGGTCGGTGGAGTCACTGTGACCAGTGGGTAGTCACTGTGGAGGCGGAGTCACTTTGACCGGCGTCGCTTTGCACTGCAGAGTTTATTTATGACGTTGGTCAGTTATTTGAAAATTTTAAAATAGTTTATGTTTTGATCTTTTATCCTATTTTTAGTAATATCCAGGCCAAAAGGCCTATATATTTGTTTGAAATTAAAAACCCTTATAGTTTTATGAAAGTATTTTGAACAAAGAATATTTTCATATAATTTTTCATATTTTAAATAATTTCATTTAAAAAGATATCATGGATCAGATTTGACCATCATTGATCTAGAAAAGTCCTCATGATCAAGTTATATGGGAAGAAGGGACTACTAAGTATATTTGTATTTATGTTAAACAAATTACATTCTTACAATGTACATTTAGCAAAATCATTTTTATTTCATTTTTATATTATAGGTAGTTTCATGTTAAAATATACTATTGGTCAAACTTGAGGATATATGTTTAGTCAACAGAATCAAAGATCGATGATGGAGTTTTGTGAGACATATAAAATATAACATCTGATTTACAAAAAAGGCAGAGCTTTCACCGATCGGAGGTGGTGGTGCTGGGAGGTGGTAGGAAAGGTATCCATTTTTTATTGGTTTTTACTATTTTTTATTAATTTTTTTTTATAAATATTTTATTATTTTTCATTATTTTTTTACGATTTTTTAATATTTTTTATTATTTTTTAAGATTTTATTATGCATTAAAACATTTCAATATGTATTAATACCCTTAGGGGTATTTAGGGTAGAAATAAATGTTTAGTCATATTTGAGGAGATTAAAATGTAGTAGTCCTATTGGTTCATTTTAGGGAATCTTTAGTTCTATCCGGAGCCATTCCCAAAACAAATTATGGGAATAGTGAAAGGAGTTTTACATGTTAGTTCTAAAAGGGAGGTATATCATGTGAATGTTACACGGTCAATTACTTGTTGTTACAAACACTACCTAACCGCCTAGAGCTTTTTCTTTACGACAAGCCTATGTCATCGCATTACAACAAACAGCACTAACCCCCCAACACCAAATAACGTATAGTGCCATAATAACTCTCTATTTAGTCCTTGCCTTATTTTCATTATCACAGCCAAACATGCACTAGATTGCTTCTACACTGCCACCCTATGACGACCAAGGACGACTGTCCCCACCACCATGAGCGGCGGAGGCTCTACCGCTGCGTCCTCATCGGCCTCTCATGCTTCATAGTTCTGATCCTACTCATCATCTTTCTCACCTGGCTCATCCTCCGCCCCACCAAACCCAGCTTCATTCTACAAGACGCCACCGTCTACGGCTTCAACGTCACCGGCCCGGGGTTGATGGGCCCTAACGCGCTCACAACCGCCATCCAGATCACGGTAGCCGCGCGCAACCCGAACGAACGTGTCGGAATCTTCTACGACCGCCTCGACGTATTTGCCACCTACCGAGGCCAGCAAGTCACACTCCCCACCCTCCTTCCGGAGTCATACCAAGGGCACAAAGACGTCACCGTTTGGTCGCCCTTCCTAAGCGGGAGCTCCGTCCCGGTTGCGCCTTATCTGGCGGTGGAACTCGGCCAAGACCAGAACGCCGGGACGGTGCTGATCCATATAAGGGTTGATGGAAGAATCAGGTGGAAAGTTGGGACGTTTGTGTCCGGGAGGTACCGTTTGTTTGCAAACTGTCCAGCTTATTTGAGCTTTGGAGGACAATATAGTCCGGACAGTATTTTAGTTGGATCAACTTCCAAGTATCAATTGGTGCAAACCTGTCACGTTGAAGTTTGAAGTTTGACTTTTGACTTTTGACCATACTTAATTAATTGGTTTTAAAATTATTATTAGGTAGATTCTAAATCTAAATTAAAAATGATGTAATGATTTGAACCAATCAAGTGAGTGGTAGGTACGGTACCTCATTTTTTAAATGGGTACCGGAGTTGTTACCTTATTATTATATATTGATCGAGTACTTCAATTCTTGCATGCTTCTATGTGACTTGTCCTAGTTAGAATTTTAAAGTAAATTCATATACTTCATCCGTCCTGAAAAGGTTGGTCAAATTTTCTTTTTTGAATGTTCCAAAAAGATTTGTCATTTCCATTTAAAGTAAGGAATGTGTGGCTAAAATTAATTCTCTCTCCTCTGCACAAATTTTAACTACACAGTTTTTACTTTATTAATCCACGTGAAAGTCAACTTTGGCCAACCTTTTCGGGACGGAGGGAGTATAACTTTATGTACCGATGATTTTTGTAACATTTAACTTTAGTTTTATACTCCATCTGTTTCTTAAAACGATATCATCCTTGATTTTTTTGTCAATTTTGACCAATCATATATTTTACAAGAAATTATAAATAATAAGGAGTATAAAAATGATATAAAAATATTCTTCGTTAAGGGTACATTCATAAGAGTATAAAATATAAAATTCCAATAGTATTACACTGATCAAAATTATGGTCCAAAATTTATCACCATTGATTTGAAAAGTTAAAAATGATAGAGTTTTAAGGAACAACTTGATTCCCTAATTCGAAATTTCTCCACACTTCAAGATTTTAAATTCTACATGCTAAAAAACAACTACCAATAGACTGTCTTTCTCTGGAGTACTATGAGGCTTTGACAGGGTCCGCCGCCCTGCCGCCTTTGTTTAAGGTGTTTTCATGTGAAATTTTTTGATGACATTTTGTGAGTATACTTTTCAAGAAGTGTAAATTACATTTACAAAATGTTAACTTAAAATTCAATCGAAAAATCAATTAAATAAATTATTGAAAAACATTTCACCAAAAAATGTATAAAAAGCACAAATGTTTTTCAATAATTTATTTAATCCGTTTTTTATTTAATTTTGAATTGAAATTTTGTATACATATGCTTAAAATGAGATCACTCATCTATACACGCATACCGAGTACTCACTAGTTATAAATTACTCCGTATAATACTTGTAGTCTTGTAGAGTTGTAGTCCGTGCTGTATTGAATTATATATATATATATATATATATATATATATATATATATATATATATATATATATATATATATATATATATATATATATATATATATATATATACTTGTATAATACTCCGTATAAGTTATAATATGCTTTCAAGAAAAATACAATATACAAATTTTTTACATCAATTTTGTATATGTTTTTATATTTCATTTCTAAAATTTTGAATGTTTACATGAACGCACGTGAAGAAAACATTTGCATAAATTACTAAAGTGAAAACTTCCATGAACACAAGTACGAGTATATTTTAAATACACAATGATCATATTGGTCCGTGTAGTCTCAATTGTACTCTACTACTCCATTACTAATTTACTAATTAATCTAGGGAAAACCAGATGTGTTTCTATGTGCCTCTCTGTGTGTTGGGAAAGGATTGCATAAATTAAAAAATAAATGTTAAAATGAAAATGGTAATAAAAAATTGTAATAAATAAAACCAAATTTGTAGCCCTTAATTTTGTTAATTATTTAAATGGGAATGAATGAATTAATCATATTATCGTTGTTATTTTCATGTACATCCGTCAATCATATCATATCACTTATACTTCCTCCGTTCTCTAATACTTGGCCCTCTTTCCATTTTGGGATGTTCTCTATTAGTTGTCTCTCTTTCCACTTTTGGGATGTTACGGAATTTATAGTTTCATGGCTTCATTTGTCCCCAAAATTCATAGTAAATTTCCATATTTGACAAGCTCTTTCATACTCCGTACAAAATATTTATTTTAACCTTGTTCTTGGGATAATAAACTCAAATTTTGTAAAGGGATAACTTTCATGAGTTTTGCTTCATGTACACGCTACAAGGGTAATTAATCGGGAAAGTTTATTCCATTCCCTTATATATATATATATATATATTCTCGCCTAAAATATTCAATTACCAATTAATTTTGCAAATGTTTTAAAATAAAAAGGTGAGGAGATGGCATATTTTATGTGGTTTCTTGGAGTCGACTCCTGCCTGGACTTCAAAATGCAAGTGACTGGTTGACCTACTTCCGGGTGTTTGACGGATAAGTGTAGGATTGTAACATTTTATTCCAAATAATGCAACTTTTTCCTGGTTTTCTCTAATAACGTAAAACGGAGGTGGCAGGTCCAAATTTTTATTTTGTTCTGCAGACTGTCAGACAATTCGGATTTCACTCCTCCGAATCTGTATACGTAGTATATTACTCCCTCCATCCCATTTTGATTTGCAAAATTTCCTTTTTTGGTTGTCCCAAAATGGTTTTCCACTTTCTATTTAAGGTATGTAAATAAGAATAAAGTGACAAATTTACCTTTACTTTTACTTTTTCCCCATTAACTTAAAAGCATCTACTTTTAGAAAAATGGACAAAAGTGTAAAAAGTAAGCATCATTTATTGACATTTCTTAATCTTTGTGCCGGACAAAGTTTGCAATTCAATTCGGGACGGAGGGAGTACTTTTTTTATTTTTTCGCCTTTCTTATAGAAGAACCGGTACACCCCACTCTGGGAAATGAACAATTTCATGGTGTTTATTTGTTTTAGTTTATATGGTTGCTTGTGTTCTTTTTATTGTTGTTTTTTGTGATTGTTGATTTTTTGTGATTGTTGCTTTTTTGTAATGAATCATATCTTATTCAACATAATTAAAAATCATACAATATTTGTCATTTAAGTTCAGTATGCGTCTAAGTCCCGAATTTCGATCAAAATACGCGTTTTAAAAAAATGACCCATTCAAATAAATAAGCACACGTTTTACAAATTTGACCCACGTGGGAATAATTGACCCACCCTCTTCATGAGCCTCATTCCACACTTGGGAATATTTTTATCTGATAAAGTATTTTTTATCTGACCAGAGACATTATTGAGGTGGTTGAGAATAATAAGGTTAGTTGCAGAGTGGGTGAGTATCTATTCAGAGAGATTTTATCTGGCCGAGAATATTTTTATTTGAAAAAGTATTTTTTTTATTTGACTAGAGACATTATTGAGGTGGTTGAGAATAATGAAGTTAGTTGCGAAGTGTGTGAGTATATATTCAGAGATATTTTATCTGATCATAAATATTTTTATTTGATAAAGTATTTTTTTTATCTGACCAGAGACATTATTGAGGTAGTTGAGAATAATGAATTTAGTTGCAGAGTGGTCGAGTGTTTATTCAGAGATATTATATCTAATCGGGAATAAAGTACAAATTTCAATAGATATTGCTCTTTTCCGTATTCAAATAATTCAAAACGTTTAGCAAAATGATTATTATATAAATATATTAAAAAAATGTATTACAAAATGATTTTTTTATATAAATATATTACTTAAGGGACGGGTTACTTCCGAACTCAGACAAATTCGGAGTAGACTCCTCCGTTTTACCTTTTTTTTGTCAAAAAAAAATACATCAACGCGATTTAGAAGCACCCACTCGATTTCTACTCTGTTTCGTCATTTACTCCCTACTTCGGGTACCAGCCACATGGAACCACGTAAGTGTGATGTCAATCAACTGATCGAAAGTATGTGCGCAGTTACTCGAATATAAGAAGAATCAAAGTAACTACATATTCGTTTTAAATAAAAGTAACAATAAAACGGCTGTTCATCCAAATATAATATTACCGAGTACTTCCTCCATCTCTTTTTAGTTTCAACAATCAACATTTCACGTTTGTCAACGTCATCGTCATTATATTTAATTCTATATTAGTAAAAGCAAAATAAAAATTAGATTATAAAACTTAGTAATGAGACGAATTTAACAACATTTTTTAAAAAAAAATAACTCGCATACATTAATAAATAAAATGTAGTCAAAGTAAAGTACATGAATAGTGTATATATTTCAATGTTGCAATTAATGAGATAGGGAGGATAGTATATTTTTCTCTCAAAAACAATAAGAATGTTTTTAATTTGACTGAAATTTTCTGATATGATTTATGGTCTGATTTATATGTATTTTAAAACTATCAAAGTCTAATCTCATCTGATTTGGTTTATATGATCTATTTAAATCTGATTTGAATGTGAAATAAGCCCAAATAAAAATATACTACCCCCGTTCTCTTTCATTCGCAACATTGGCCTTTTAATTTTCTACTAATAAGAAATAAAAGATATTAATGGTCAAACATGTGTGTGATATGCTGGACAATTGCAATTAGAAAAGAACGGAGGAAGCAATAAGTACTGCTCTGTTTCATGGTAAAGTCATACTCCCTCCATATCAAGATGGAAAAAGGATGACACCCCATCCCTGAGGGCCCCCTAATCCCGACCGGATGGTACGTTGGGAGGATGTAAATTGGACTATAATCCCAATTTGACAGATAGAGAGTGGGGCTCTGTCCCCGGTATTTGCAGAGACCTTATGCATTTTAGCATGGTAACCCTTCATCGCAGTTGTCGGGATTCGAACCCGGGATCTAACCCTTGTGGCACTCTCTCGCTACCAGTTGAGCTACGCTCACCCGTCCTCCATGTCCAGAGGGGATATACGAGAAAGGGACCATGGCAAACAAACGATAAGGCTTAATATGCTACCACCTAATCATTTGATTCTGTAGGTGGAGACCCTTTGCCAAATGACTCGGGACGAGAAACATTCGATATGAAAGTTGAGTATGATTTTTGATGGATAGTCTGGTCTGGCTTTATGTCTCTTTTATTAGCGATTCTGTTTTACGAAGTAATTCTTTTCTTAATTATTTTGATCTAGATTAGTGGTTGAGTGTAAGAACAATAATGCTCTTAGATGAGTCTACATATTGTTGGGTTAGCGAGCCATATTTGTATTTATTTGAGACTATTGAGTTACACATTTCATCGAAATGTCACCTTAGACTATATAGGTGTCATTTTCTTGTCATTTTCATCATTAATAAAATATGTTTTGTTTCTTCTAAAGAACTATTCTGAAAGCTTGTATATGAAATTTTCAAATCCAAATTTAATTTGACTATATATAAATATAATGCACATTATAGATCAAATAAATGCTCCACCAACCACACTAGAGCATAAAACATGTTACATATAGCTCCAATATATATCGTCTATCCGGCCATTTGTAAACAACAAAATGAAACTAAAACTACTTCAAAGTGTATCCATAAGAAAAATCACATATTGGACTATGTACATCTTCAATCTCATTTTTGAAGACCGGTGACACTTTGATGTGCAGAAATGTAAACAACTCAGTACATGAGCTTTCAATAGTGAACTTTAATTAAACTTTAAGTAGCATCACTCATGCTATTAAGAGTTACAAATCTAACTCGCATTATCCCTATCTATATTTATTTTGAATATTTTACTATTATTTAGAGACCCGTGATTTTAAAAACATAAATGCTTTTCCACACCAATATGTATTTTATTTACGCGGACTAATTACAATAGAAAAAATGGCCTCTATATTACTAGTAGAGTTTTCATTTCCAAAAATGACAATTTTTTCATTTTCCAAAAATATGACTCATTTAAAACATACGGAATAGTACAATTCCCATCGCCCCATCTCCCCCCAGCGAAATCGTCTCCTTCTTCGCTCCCATCAAAGCATCATCGAACATCTGCATCTGTCATCAAGCGAAATCGGAACTCCACAGAATCGCTTGTCCCTGCAATGCCGCCATTTCCGCTAGGCCGGCCAAACCTTGAGTCGTCGTGACCTTGTTCCAAGCTGGAAGAACAGATTTGCTGACGAGCGCCGATGGTGGATCGATTCATTTCGTCCGCCGCTCCCTTCCTCCGCCGCCTGGTCTGGTCCGTGATGTCGTTGTTGTCGACCTTTCACTCCAGCTATTAAAACCCAACCGGAGCTAGATCTAGATCTAAAGCCCCTAGCTACATCATTTTGTTCGCGTCTGAATCTAGGGTTTCAGACTGGGGGTCGACGAGTGGAGGCGAGGGTTATTCCGGACTGTATGGGCGGTGATCGATGGGTGTCGATTCAGTGCAGTTGCTTCACCATTGTTGGTGGCAGGCTTAGGCGAGTTGGGGCATGAGAGGTGGTTGGATCTGGGCTGACCTGGGCTGGTGGGGGCTCGAGCTGGCGATGGGGCTGGGTAGGGATAAGGTTGGGGCGATGGCTACGGCAGTGACGGGGGTGGTCGCTGTGGCGAGTTGGCTGGTGGTCACTTTGGTCGGTTGGTGGGTTGTCACTTTGACCGCTTGACGGGCAGTCATTGTGGCCGGTGGGCAGACCGAAGTCAATGTGGCGACGAAGTCACTGTGGTACCGGAGTCACAGTGGCAGCGGAGTCACTATGGTTGCGAGGTCATTGTGACCGGACTCACTTTGACCTAAGTCACTTTACGTTTAATTGTGATGTTTGTCACATTTTTATAATTTTTAAAAAGAGATCGTGTTTTTGTCTTTTATGCCCTTTTAGTAATATACAGGCCAAAAGGCCATTACAATACAACAAATAAACAATTTAATTATTAAAAAAAATGATAAGATACCTAGAATAAATCAAATGTATTCTAATTACAATACCTTCATTTATTGTGAATACCCTCACATTTTTTTGACATCCACAACTAAACCAAACCAAATTCCATAATACTAACCCTATTCCTTACCGTGAGGCTGCCCAAATCGAACTGCATACCACTTTCCCTCGTATTCTTCCGGATATCTCTCTTCCCGCTTTTTCTATATTTTTACCACAACTTCAGATCTCATCTCGCGCCATCTTCACATCTGCTATTCCATCCCACCATCTCTGCTGTCCCCAAATTTAGTTCTTTTAGTGAACCCTTTTTACTTTCCAGAAATCGAATCAACAAAAAATCAAGAATCGGCCAAAGTTTTCTGCTTCAGGAAAAAGGAACTGCATATAGCGAATCATGCAGCAGCAAGAGCCTTTAAAGCGGCAGCAGCTGCAATTCGCGGAGGTAAAACCGGCGTTTGAGGACTACCATCGGTTCCTAGCTGATCCGCAACTCCAACCTCCTCAGGTTTCTGAAGGCATCGTCGTAAAGACTCCGGTGAGGTTTTTTTGGCACTTCTCAAAAACGATTTGTATCTTTTTTCTTTAGTATTGTGATCTTTCTTTGACGGCATTGACTTCTTGATTTAGCTGGATTTTAGTGGACTCTGCAGCATACGTATTAAGCTCAGAAGTATGGCTGATATTAGGTTTAATATGTTTCTTGATCAAGAATTGGTGCCAATGTGTGATCTTTCAAGTTTCAACCCTCAATATACTGATTTGGACTGACTTTAAGTGATGTTTTTATACTGAAGTTTTAAACTTAAGTGAATGCGTGCTCTCTCTTTGTCCATCTGAGGGCCATCAGCTCTTGTTGACCACAAAGTTTAGACCTTTTCCTTTTATTTATATCATAATTACTTTTTAATTCATTCAGTTTTTGTTTAATTTCAATGGCGGTATGATCCCTCAGGTACTTTGATTTGCAAAACCTGTTTAAAACACTGATCGGCAAGCTATGTACTCCCTAAGTCGCTCTAATTCAATTAGTTGTTTAGCTAGGCTTTTACATGGTTTCTAAGTTTAGAATCTTGTGTTAGAGTATTAGAGGTATTGCAATGTTAGATGACATTCTACTTTTCAGCATGCATTAGGGATACCTTCTTCCTGCAAAGTTTCTTTCATTAACATTGTGGCAATCATTGATTAAGTTAATTAATGTGTAAAAATTGTAATATTGATTTTACTTTCCTGACCCTATTGTCTCTCTTCATTTGACCAGCCATTGAAGAGAAAGAATGAGATAGGCAAGTATACTCAGGTTTTTAGTCAGCCAAACCAAGCTTCTGGATTTCCTGATGCCTACAGTCCCTTGCAAACACCTGTTTCAGGAAAAGCTGGAAAGGTTCAGAAAATATCAAAGACATCAAAAGCCAACAGATCTTTGTCTATAACTGCCGGGAGCATTGGTTAGCTCTTGTCTGAAAAATAATATATTCTGCATTTGGGCATTTTATTATTATGCACTCCCTCCGTCCTAGGCCCCAGATTAAGCTTCTCATTTGCCTCTTTTGAATACCCTGTTAAGCTTCTCATTTGCCTCTTTTGAATGCCCAGTTAAAGCTACTCATTTCTATTTTAGGAAATAATTAGCTCTCTTGAATGACAATTCAATCATCAAATATTAAAAATAATACACCCATAACATCAAAGTTATCATCAATGACCTCATTATATTATATACCCATCAAAGTTACTTCTCAAAATATACTTGAACAACCTTGTTTAATTATTTTGTCTAAATAACCGTGCCATTTTCCAATGAGAAGCTTAAGCCTGGACGGTGGTAGTAGCTAGCTTAGGGTAAGACTCCACAGGAGAAGTAACTTTAGTTATTATGCATCCACAGGATCCCCTTTCAGTAACAATACAACTCCAGTTGCTCCTTGTCGGTATGATAGCTCCCTAGGTAATTAAGGGCTTGCTGCACATAACTAATTGATATTAAATTCTAGTGTCACATTCAATATAAGGTTGAAGTACTAATGACTGAAGTGAATAATGACAATGCTCACTCATAATCAGGCGTCTTAACGAAGAGGTTTATTCATCTGATTAAGCATTCTCAAGATGGCATTCTTGATCTGAATAATGCTGCTGATACACTAGAGGTCTGCAAAACTTTAGTTAATTTTATTTTATGTCTAGCTAATGAATTCTACAAGCTAAAAACTAATAAGTTGTTATTGATTCAGGTGCAAAAACGACGTATCTACGACATAACAAATGTTCTGGAAGGCATTGGCCTAATAGAAAAGAAGTTAAAGAACATGATCCAATGGAAGTAAGAGAATGCATCTCACATCAACCCAAAAATGGCTAATGCTATATTTGTTTGCTTTCATAATTTACTGGGAAATAAAATGTGGCCTATTAAATTGTATTTGTTACACAGGGGTTTGGATGTCTCAAGAACAGAAGATGATGAAAGTGGTTGGAATTTGAAGGTAAGAGGAAAGTTTTCACCATCGTGCCTCCTTTTGTTCTGTTGGATCATCCTGTCCCTGACCTTGCATTAGCCTCAAACTTTCCGCGCAGTCGTTTTAATAATAGATTACAAGTGGCTCATAGGTTTTCTGCTTGGCAGCTAGATTTTCTACCAGATTTCATAGTTATGGCTAAAGTAAGTGAATACAGTGGGAAAAAGCAGTGCATGAGTTACTTTTTGGCTGAGATGAAAAAATTTAACACTTTACCTTTCTTTTATATACTTTATTATTATCTTTAGTTTACTTATAAATCAATGTTACTTTCTGGGTAGGGTCATAAAGAGGATTGATAGGATTCTAAAATATGTTGGCAAAGCCTACTTTTAGAATATGCTTCCATTGATCCAAAAATGTCATACAAGAAAAAAAAATTCCAAATGTATTTATCACTGTTTGTTTCGGAAAAATTGATAAGATTGCATTTGGGATTGTTCTCTGGAAGTTCAAGATTACTTCACTTTTACCCTGTGGCTAATGCCCCCTCCCTTTTGCAGGCTGAAGTGGAGAATTTGGCCTTGGATGAGCGTAGAATAGATGAACAGATCAGGTTCTTTTATAAAGACTTTAGGACTACACACACATGCACAAAACATTACCTTGATTTGACCATTAATGTGCTGATCCTATGCGATATTAACTTTAGAGAAATGCAACAAAGAATTGGAGATCTGATGGAAGATGAAACAAATCAAAGGTACCTTTTCATCGGCGTGTTCATTAACTCTTTAGTTGATCATTCTGATGGACTTGTTTTATAATGCATCTAATTTTCATCTATCAGGTTGCTTTTTATCAGAGAAGAAGATATTAAGAGCATACCTAGTTTTCAGGTACACGTAGTTGTAATCATTGTACTTTAGTTGTCTTAGTAATGGTCCTTATTGCTTGATTGACTATGCTAAAGTGAAATCAAATACTCTTTTCTTTCAGCATGAAACACTCATAGCAGTTAAAGCTCCACATGGAACCACAGTAGAAGTTCCAGACCCCAATGAGGTGTCTTAACTATAAGAAATTTATTCTTTTTTTCTCTCTTCGGAAATTTATCAATCCAGGACCCGAAAGATAGGTTAACTATCAATCAGACCTAAATATCATACATTTTCATTTCTTTCATTTTTATTTACTTTATTGCTAAGTTTTGATGATTTTTTCTTCACAAGTTTATTAGTTTAATAAAGTTAAGAAAGATTCTAAATATTTAAAATTTTATAAAAATAAAAATTTTGGTATTTTAGGTCTTAGATTGATGATTTTCAATCATTTGATCCCTGTACAGACCATTTTCATCTTTGAGGTCCTAAATTGATAGTTAATGTATCTTTCAGGTTCTAGATTGATGAAATTCCTTTCTTTTTAATCCCCGGTTATTTTATAAGTTCATTCGAACATTTGTACTTTCACAAGTTCTTGTCTTTTGAAAGGAATCTTGGCACACTGGTTACAGTGATAATGTGTGACCGGGAGGTCACAATTTCAATTTTTTGGAGTGGCCTCTTGTCAAAGTGATATGAGAAGACTCGCCCTCTACACGCCCCGGTGGTGGGACCCTTTCTGGGGACGCCAATATGCACCTGGCTGCCCTTTAAGTTCTTGTCTTTTATTTTGTTTTGTATTTATTTTGGCAGGCTGTTGATCATCCTCAAAGGAGGTACAGAGCAGTACTACGCAGCACCATGGGACCCATAGACGTTTACCTTATTAGGTAATTCTATTCTACTTCCATGAAAAAAGAACACTTTACATCATGAAATATGGGATCTTGCCTCCAAGTATAATATGAATGAAGTGACTAAATAAGTGATACCTTATGTGCTTTTCTTCCTGAACTTCAATATTCAGTAAATTTGATGAAAAGTTTGAGGTGATTCATGAAGTTGTAGCACCGCCACCTAGCCACCCTTCAACACCACCCAGCACAAGTGAGAGTGGACCTTTAGAAACTAAGAAGAGAAAAGGAAATGAGGCAGGTGGGCTCGAAAAAGTAGAAAGAATGTTCTCAGATGTTGATGCAACCTTGCCAGAAGACTCTGGAAGTGGAATTGTCAAAATTGTTCCCCATGTTGACGTAAGTTTTCCCTATAATTAAAATTTCCTATATTATAATTTATGAAGAAATTGAATGGTGTTAAATTTTCAGTTAGATGGTGATCTTGTGTAATCTTAATAGGAGATTTTCTCTGAAATATTACTAAAAAATCATTGACAAAAATGACCACATATCACATAAAAATTCACAAGGGTGACCGCTAGGGGTGGGCAATCTAGTTTACGGTTCGGTTTTTATCGGTTTCCGTTTGGTTTATTCGGTTTGAGAGATATGGTACCAAACTCAAACCATTTGTGTTTTGGTTTGGTTTAGGAATGGTTCAGTTTGGTTTGGTTTGAAGTTCGGATTACCAAAGGGAGGATGATTTGGTTCAATTTAGTTCGGTTTGATCTGGTTCCATATCTTTATTGGTTTATTTGATCTATGCATCCAAGTTTTATTGTTTAGAAATAGAAAATAAAAATAGTGAACTAAAATAGTAGTCAACCACACCTTGTTGTGTTCATTATTTAAATAAAGTGTGAAGAGAAATAAAAGAAGAAAATTAATAATGAAATTTTATAAATTAACACCTAATTTGTTTTGCTTGAATTGATGACATAAAAACGTCTAACATTTTTTCAACCAATAGAAAAAAGACTCACCACTCACAAAAGTTAAGATTATAGTTAATTAACATTTATAACATTACATAAAATATTCAAAGAAAACTAAATGAGTCGGCGGTATTTTTTTTGTAAAATTCATATTTGTATTCAAATGCATAATGTAAAATGTGCATTGTACTCTAGTTTAACTGAAATTGATATAAATGCAATGTGTTATTATCATCGCCAAACATCTTTTCATACAGAGTACAAAATATAGCAAATAAAAGTATAATATTATATTAGCTAACTTTGTTATAATGAATGTAGAAATGTATAAAAGTTAAAATATACTACGTATATTCTTAACAATGTAGTTTTTGTATCTAAGTTATTTATTTGTATCGTAACGATTAAGGGTGAACACATATACAAAGTATTGTAATAAATATTAAAAAATATTCAATTCGGTTTACAGTTTTTCGGTTTAAAACCAAACTACACTAAACCAAACCATTTGGTTTGAGCAAATTGTTACGAAAAAGTGTACTTCAATGAACCCAAACCAAATCAAAGTATCAATTTTCAGTTTATTTCTGTTGAACCAAACTGTTTTGCCCAGCCCTAGTCGCTCCATAGTAAAATGGAATATCAAATATCACAGATGGTCACTATACTTGAAGTAAAAATGTCATCATGGTCCAGTAGTCCAGTGTGAACGTCCCATTTTGATATCATGGAACGACTGTCTTTCCTTAACAGAACTACTGGCTTTATTAGTCATAATAATTGAAGCACATCCTATTGCATTCAGTCCATTTGAATGCTAGATATAGCAACCTTCCAGCTCTAATATTTCATGCTAACACTTATCTAAAAGGTTATCTTGTTCTTGCCTTTCCAGAACGAAACAGATTACTGGTTATTGTCGGATGCTGATGTTAATATCACTGATATCTGGGGAGCGGACTGTATCCTTTTTATTATTTTTTATAATTCGATCTTATATTTACTTAATGCCCATTTGGTAAGGGTTATTTGGCTAAAATGGCTGAATCTACACTAAAGTCTGAAGATATGCAATATCATATTATTATTATGAATTGTTACTAGAATGGTGCAATTTCCCTGACTCTCACATAGCTGGGGTTGACTGGAGTGAGCTGATAACAACTCCTGAGGATTACGCCACAAACAATGACAGTACTGCCCCAACCCAAACTTCATCTCCCAGTTTTCTTAAAAGCGCGTCTTGCAACTAATACTACGGGGAGATAAATATTATCTGTTAGTGACCCATGATTTGGTTTTGTACAGTGTATATATGTCTACTACCTTGTAAGTAGCAACATGAGCAGTTTCTCTCGTGCCTTAAAGCACAAGGTGGTTATGAGCAGCACATCGTTAAACATTAACAGTTGGATTATGCTTCTAGCACAATTTGAGTTGTTTTGACTTGATTGAGAATGCATAAGCATGGTCTATCATTGTTAGACTTATACCAAGGCGGCCCAGGGCTATTTATTCTTCATTTTGTTAGACATTTTCAACATACTTCCATTACCGTGAAAACAAGGGTGAATAATGGCTTTTGTTTGTAACAAGTGTGAAACCAAGAGCGAATAATTGCTTTAGTTTGTACTTTGTAGCAAGTGTGAATCCAAGTGGATTTATTTCTTGTCCCATAAGTCCATAACTCCACAAGGGCCATAAGTAACTTATATTATTGCAATCACAATATGATTTAGTTGTAAAACTTTTACAAGTCCATAACTCCACAAGGGCCATTAGTAACACATATTATTGCAATCACAATATGATTTAGTTGTAAAACTTTTAGTAAATTGAGCTCTACTAGTGATTCAGCACTGTTTAAAGAGTTTTAGTACAATAGTGATATGGTAGGTTGGCCTTTCTATTGGATAAGCATGCCTGTGAGCTCGAGTTTTTTTTTCAGGTACTAACCAACCCATAACTAGCCTGTTGTTTCCCATAACTAGCAAGAATAAATAGATCACTTGTGCTCTTTATCAACTTTCAATCCCTCAATCCAACGAGCAACAATGGGAGTAAGAGCAATATTAGGTGAGAATCTTATTGGCTATGGTTGGACTCGGGTCGGGCCACCCGGCCCGGCCCGCTACTGTGCGGGACCGGGACCGGCCCAGTTCTTGGGTCCGGGTCCGGGTCAGGCCTAGGCCCGGGGGTAGGGCGGGTTCGGGCTCGGGTCTCAAATTTGGTGAACCGGCCCGGGCCAAATTGATTTTTTTTTTTCATTTTTGGGGTTCCACCCGGGTTGGGTTTGATGGGTAGGATGGGTTTGGGGGGGTTTGGGAGGGTGGGGGGGTAGTGAGGGGGGGTTAGGAAAGCAAAAAAAAAAAAAAAACCAAATCGGAGCCCCGGCCCAGCCCGGACCCGGTAGCTACCCGGGCCGGTCCCGGGTCCACCATTCTTGAACCACCGGCCCGCCCGGGCCTAGGCCCGACCCGGACGCGGCCCGGACCCGAGTCCACCCCTATTATTGGCGATGCAGCCTTGTGCGGAACGTATGCCAATGCAAATGTCCCAACTTTCTTCGTCGTCTCTTTAGATGAAATCCTAACCTGCACACCAAGACATTTATGGAGTTGGTTCATATAGACTAATAAGTATTTCAAGAGAAAAAAAAATCACCTTCTATAACAATGTTTGGGCATCAATTTTGACATTGATCATAGAGACCAAAGGATATCAAGGAGAGAGTGATGGAGGTAGCCAGACAGGCTCCTCCATATTTCTCCAAAGCTCCTTAGCTTCCTTCCTTTGACTTGCTTCCTTGGTTGTTTTCATCTTTTGAACTTAATATCTTTAGGGTTTTTGAAGATCTAAGTCTATAACACCCTTAAATTCAACATCACTTTGGAGTTCTATGTTTCAGCATTTAAACCAGGTTAGTTAGCACTCCATAGGCTTAAACTCCATAAAGTAAAAGAAGACATACAAATTAAGACATTGTCAAGCATGGAATCCATTTGTAAATCAATGCCAAAAAATCATTTGCAAAGCAATGTCAAAAAATTATCTAGAAATTTAGTGTTAAGTGAAAATGGACACAGATGAATATGAGTGACATGATTAGTTTTGCTCATGCCTTGAAGCACAAGTTGGTGACATGCACCACATTGTTAACATACACAGGTTGGTTATACTTCTCCCAATTATAGGCTTGTAGCACAATTTGAGTTATTTTAACTTTATTGAGAAAGAATAGTGATAGAACCCAGTCAGAAGAGTACTAATAATAACAATATTTAAGAATAACAGAACGGTCTAATAGAAGAGTAAGTTTAATGTAAATAAATAGCTGAGGTGGCAACCTCATGTTAGGATACGTAGTATTAATAGTAGCTAAGGGATTAAGGAGAGATTGAATTAGGAATTGGGATTCGACTTGAGAGACACACTCTCAAAATTCTCTATTTTCTTTATATGTTGTTTTCCTTATTCCGTCATTGTAATAGCTTAAGGAATTCTTAGATTTTCTACATAATATACCTACTATTTCTACTATGAGGATCACAACTATAACATTGGTATCAGAGCACTCGATCTTGGAGGAATGAGAGTCTAAAATCTCATTGGACAATCATCGCCGGTTGGAGATCCGATTTAATAATTTAGATTGGATGACCGCTAAGACATGAACGAGGATGGATAGATAAAGGAGGAGCAAGGAACTAGCAACATACTTGGATAGAGCGACTCAAATGAAAAGCCAATATCACGATCAGTTCAACTTCATGGGTCCCATTGGCCATCTGGTCAGACTAGTCGGTTAAAGCGGTTTTGCACAAGTAAAGGACTATTGAGCGTTGGACCCAATGGAATTATGGTTGCAGATGTTATTGTAACATATTCTGGAGCCTTATACATGGCGGGTGTCCCAATTGTGAATCCATCTACAGTAATTGTTTGGGAGGTTGGGCCAAGTCCTGAAAATTTATTTTCAAGCAATTTATAAGGCAAGTATGAGCAATGAAGTTCCACCGTCACTTAATCCTCCTTTGTGGGACAGTTTTGCTTCTCCTGTTGCTCCCAATTATATACTCGTAGCACAATTTGAGTTGTTTTGACTTTGTTGCGAATAAATAGTTATAGGAATTCAAGCATAATAATATTATTAATAATATTAAAGAGTAGTATAGAGGTCTAATAGAAGACCTAAGATAAATGAAAATGGGTTTAGACAGAAATAAGCATGGTTGAATTACATAGAATTGAAAAATATAAAAAACGAAGAATTACCTTGTCTACTCGTGCAGCGAGAGTATGAACCCTAATGTCGATCTTCATTTGTATATATAGTGACAATATTATTTTGAGTCTCCTAGATCCGGTGAAGATTTGTGTGCGGTAATCTTGCTACTGAAGAATTCTAAATTTGGTGAAATTCGCATATTAACGATTGAATGGAGTCGCTTGAGGGGGAGATGAGAAAACTTGGGCGAAAAGCAGGGAGAGTGCGGAGAAAATGAGAAGAGGCTTAGAGTTTCGTTCGTTCAATTTTTTGAGGGGAAAAAGCTTAAAAGGGGAGCCACGTGGCTTTAGAATACCAAAGGAGAAAAACTTGATTTGAGCTACACGTAGGATTAACTAAGGACAAAGTAGTATTTTAATGAATTATTTACTTTCTTATATATAAATAGATACTAAAGAATAGTATAGAGGTCTAATAGAAGACCTGAGATAAATGTAAATAACAAGCCAAGGTAGCAATCTCATGCTTGGATAAGTAGTATTAATAGTAGTTGAGGAAGGTGGAAGGAATTAAACAGAAGTTCAGTTTGGGAATTGTGATTAGGCTTGGGAGAGAGATTCTCTTGTAATTGTCTATATTTTCTTTGTACATTGTCTTTCTTATTCTGTCATTTTCTTATTAGCTTATGGAATTCTGAGACTTTGTAGAGTATACCTACTATTTCTAGTGTGGTGATCAGTACTCAATATTTGTATCAGAGCACTCGATCTTATTGAGAATGAATAGTGATAGGAACATGAGCTGTTTTGCTCGTGCCTTAAATCACAAGTTGATGATGTGCACCATATTGTTAAACATATACAGTTGGGTTATGTTTCTCCCAAGTATATGCATGGAGCACAATATGGGTTGTATTGACTTTATTGAATGAATAGTGATAGAAATTCGGACAGAATATTACTATTATTAATAATATTAAAGAATAGTATAAAGGTCTAATAGAAGGAGTAAGTTAAATGTAAATAAATAGCTGAGGTTATAACTTCATGCTAGGATGCGTAGTATTTGTAGTTGTTGAGAGAGGACAAAGGAGTTAAGCTAAAAATCAGTTGGAAATTGGGATTAGGCTCGGAAGAGAGACTTTCAAAATGATCTCTATTTTCTTTGTACACTGTTTTCCTTATTCTGTCATTGTAATAGCTTAAAGAATTATGAGATTTTCTATGGAATATACCTACTGTTTCTAGGATGAAGATCGGTACCTTAACAAATAGATGTAGTCTATTTATGAGAAGTTATGAGTAAACATTGTTTCTAGGATGAATGATTTACTAGTATTCATAACTAATGCATTCAACTTTCAAAAAAATGTATGCATTCATACATAAATATACATCTGTTTACAAGTTTTAGCATTTCTTGGCTGCTAATATCATTTTAGGTGCCTGAACTTGTTCCTCCCATTTAGCCAGGGCCGGTTCTGAGGGGGGCAAGAGGGGCGACCGCCCTAGGCCCGAAAAAAATAGAAGAAAAAATAGGCCCAAATTTTTTCTTTATATATAGTGTGAGTAGGCTTCTTTTTTATTCTTAAGTTCAATTAATTAGGCCTAATGTTTAATTATGTTGAGTTGTTGACAATTTGAAAATTTAAAACGTAAATAAAAAGTCTTAAACAGAGCCATGTTTTAAAAGAAAATATACATTAATTTTAAATATGATCAGTTGTAGTTTTTAAAAGCAATACAGTTGTTGCTGCATCAATAAAATACATGCCTCTTCGATCTTCACATCTATTTAGCCTTTAAGGTTTTTTATTCATTTTAATTGTAACATAACAAATTTTATAATTATTTTAGAGCCTCTCTCTCAAATCTCATCCTCATTAGACTACAAAAAACATGATATTGAGAGGGATTTTGGCAGGGATTTGGCAGAGATTTTGGCAGGGATATGCCAAATCCGTGCCATAAACACTTTGGCACGAGCTATTTGGCACGAAAAATCGGTAAATCCGTGTCAAATTCCGTGCCAATCACGTAATTTTTTTGTAGTGTTATTTATTTGTTTCCAAATTTCAATAAACTATATCTCAGTTCTCAATAGTAGTTTTAGAGGACGTCCAATTGGCAGACTTCTTGCGCGAGTCTTCTTGGTGGCCAAATATTTTGTCTCTTTGAAAACCTTCATTCTTTCGAGACTTCAAACTTCAGACTCCCATCAGCAGCGATCAGCCGATCAATAAATCATTCTCAACTTATGAACTCAATATGTAGTAATTTTTTTACATTTATCCTTTCAAAAGAAAGTTTAGTGTTGTTATATGTGACAATTTTATTGTTTGTCACATTTATTATTGGAAAGAAGGTTGCCTATGAAGTGATTATTGATGATTTGTTTCACATTGTTTTACGAGAAACTTTTTTTAGTAATGTTTTTTCTTTTTATCCGATGCTCGTGTTGTTACTTTTGCAAAAATATGTAACTTAAATAATAGGAAAAAGGGGCAAATAAGCCCACGTACTAACCCAAAAAGGTCAAATAAGCCCTTAAATAGGAGGCAATGTCCTGCCGTCGTCATTTGGGGCGGTTCCCGGTGGAAACTTTTGATGCAATTCTTTGACCATATTATTCATTAAGTCTAGTTTACTCATATCAAATTTCAGCTAAAACTTCGATCGGGAAGGCATTCAAATGAATTCTTGAAGATAACTGCACAGTTAAAAGCGCAGTTATCTTCAAGAATTTATTTGAGTGCCTTCCCAATTGAATTGTTAGCTGAAATTTGGTATGAGTAAACTAGAATTAATGGATAAGATTCTTAAAAATGTTCATCAAAAAATTCCACCGGAAACTGCCCCAAATGGAGACGGTCGGATAGAGCCTCCTATATAAGGACTTATTTGACCTTTTTTGATTAGTATGTGGGCTTATTTAACCTTTTTTCCTAAATAATAATAAAGTGATTCTCATCTTTATTTTATGAACTTCATTGAATATTTTTATTATAATTCATATTTCAAATAAGTATATGATTTACCGTTTGTCTTGGGTATACGCCCAAAATAGCGTACCACCCATAGGCCCAGAAATGAGTAGGACCGGCCGTGCATTTAGCTCTAGGCTTATAGCCAGGCAGCCCTGGCCTAGTGAGAACACGGTTCGTAATTTTCTTTATTGCATCCAAGTGTATTTCTTTCATGGTTTATATTTTTCTTTGCCTCTGGCCCTCTCAGTAACGGTAGACATGGGAGATGCATGTTAAGGCATAACACAGGAACAGTACATATATGCAAAAAAGAATGATACAACACAAGCTAGTAAACATAGCCCATTACATAAATATAGGCGATTAACAATGGGAGTAAATACAACGCAAGATGTTATATATTTACATTATGCAAGACTCAATAAGATCACTTATGCTCTTTATCAACTTTCATTCCCTCAATCCAGCCAGCAACAATGGGAGTAAGAGCAACAGTAGGTGGAAATCTTATTGGGGATGCAGCCTTGTGGGCAGCGTAAGCCAATGCGAATGCCCCAACTTTCTCCCCAGTCTCATTTGATGAAATCCCGACCTGCAAACACAGTGTTCATCAAGACATGTATGGACTTCAGTTCATATAGACTTGTAAAATATTTCAACTTTCAAGAGACAACAAACTCACCTTCTGTAGCAATGCTTGGACATCAACTCCGGCATTGATCAACGCATAGCAGAGACCAAAGGATATCAAGGAGAGAGTGATGGAGGTAGCCAGGTAGGCTCCTCCATATTTCGCCAAAAGTTCCTTAGCTTCTTTCCCTTTTGACTTGTTTCCTTGGTTTTTGTCATCTTTTGAACTTAATATCTACATGGAGTTCAGTTAACCAGCTAAAATGTCACTATAAAGTATAAACCAGCTAAATAGTTACTCCAACTTCAAGAAAACAATACATTAAATTAAAACCGAATGTTCACAAAAGAAAATTTTGTCTCTTTTATTCCAAGCTGCCAACGACTACTAGATGGTTATCACTTTTTAGCTCTTGAGTATCATTCTTGTCACATTTTAGTCCATTCTTCCATAACTCACCAAACTAAATTTGTCTCTCAATCTGGGCTTGCCTAAATGCAAAACTTTAAATGAAAATTACTGTTATCAGCTCGCCCCAATGTTTTGGCACATTTAACCAGATTGGCTTGGTTTGGTCCCTTTAGCTATACCTAAATACCAGATACCATCTCCCATCAAAATGATGAAAAATCAAAGGGGAAGGACTACATACGATGCAAAACGAAATTAATGGGACTTTTTGTGTCAAAATTAATAGTGAATGGTTAAAAACGGAAATGAAGTATAATTGTGGGTAGATAATTGAACGTAAAAACCCTCATAAAAATCATCAGAAATTTAAATAGAAGCAGAATCATCAGTCCATCAGACTAGCGTTCTTGAACCATTATAGTTAAAGGAACATAATTTAATCCTAAAGATTTGCGGAAAATCTAAGAAATACCCATTTATTATCAATTGAATGTAAATACCTTCCAGAGACCTGCTTCTAGACCATATTTCTTGACGACTTCCTCTGCAGATGTCTGAGACTTGATATCCTCTGATTTCTCCTTCACTGCCCTCAATCTGAGCTTGCTGAAATTGGGATTTGCAGAAGAGCTTGGCGCACTGTTTGGTTTTGTATAATTCAAGGGGGGCCGCGGAGGAGAGGAGAAGATTGAAGCTTTACTGAAGGTGTGAGAAGGAAGGCGCAGATCAGCAGCCATTGCTGTGAAAATGGATGAACTATTTTTTCTGTTTGCCTCAAAACGTTATCCACATATTGAGTTTATGATTCCATTTATTTTTTCCTATTTGGATTGGATTTTGATTTATTCAGTTTGTCGGGAAATATACAAATACAAAAACCAATCTGTTTTTGTTTGAGAAAAAATTGGGGACTATTATGTCACTTTCACATTATTTTCTTACACTTTTAATTTAATCAAATCTAGTTCGTGACATTTTTCCCTTCGCCACCTGTTGTCCTTCAGACCCCAGCTCCGACACATTTTAACCAGGAAACTCATTTATGTAGAAATATTGGGGACATTGAGTTAATACGTCGGTCTCCCTCTATCTCAAAACTGAACTCTTCTCCCTCTTAACAACACTTCCGTCAGCTTGAAAAATCCCCAAAATCATTTGAACAATGAGGAATCATCTAGATCGTCGGCTTGAAGGAGAAGGAACAAGTGTTGAACGACGTTCGCCAACAAATGTTGGTGATAAAGGTAAGAGGCTTAAAGTTTTTGCTATACTGAGTGGAAGAAAGTAATGTAATAGAAGGGAGGCATATATAATTGATGTTTTCACATGTTAGAGCTTTTATGTTGAGGTTCCCTTTTCCCTATTCCCTTTATGTGTTCACATGGTAGGGCAGACATGTGCTTTTTTTGACTGAGATTCCCATGCCCGCTTGTCTTTAACCATTTCATGAATGGGACCAGTTCACTTTTATCTTTACCAAGGTTGTACCCTTACATGATTTTCTTTTGTTTTTTATTTATAATTATGAATATATGTATGCTCTTGTGGGAACCTATTAAATACATTATTGACCTAACATTTAAAAGTCATATATAAAACAGATTCTCTCAACTTTGAAAACACTTTTACTTTGAAGTTGTTTTTTGGAGGAAGAGTCAATCACATAGAAAAACCTTCATACTTGGGAGGCTCAATCCATATTTTTCATGATATAGAGGTTGATGAGTTCATCTTGATTGTCTTGAATGAGAAATTACAAGAACTTGGTTGCACCAACAAGGTAATGAAAGTGTTTCTATTCACATGAATCCCTAAATCAACTAAACAGTGAGGCATAGATTTGGAGGTTTGTGAATGATGGAGATGTTGGTAAGGTGGTGGAGTTATTGGTAGATTTAGAACCCAGTGGTGACACTGAAGATGATGATGACCTTGAAGATAGTGACTTCGTCTACAGTGAGAAGGACTTCGAAGATTTTTCTGGGGATGAGGATGGCTTTGATTTAGAAGACTTCATTTGTAAGGAGGATCCCGAGTTATCTACTCATGGAGGGGTACACAGCAGTACTGAAGGAGAAGACACACAAACAGAAGCTTCAATGGTAGACCCTGATCCTAACTTGTGTGATGATGGTTCCATACACGATTCTGATTCTAATTTTGAGAAATGGACTAAATTTTGTGCCAAGACTGATATGAAAAATCCAATCTTTAAGTTGGATTTGACATTTGCCACCAAACAGGAATTCAAAGAAGCTCTGGAAAATCATCATTTAAGATAGGTAAAGAGGTGAAGTTTGTGAAAATGATAAGGTGGAGGTTGTTGTGGAGTGCAAACATATAGGCTGCCCTTGCAAAGGTAATGAACTCTCATTCTTAGAGGATTTTACAGTACCATGGCACACATGAAGGTTGCTTTTGGGTCTATCACAACAAAATGTTGAACTCAACCAAGGTAGCAAATAGGTGGTTTAAGGAGATTCAAAGTCTGATTTGATTTGGTTTAAGTTCAATTTACCAAATTAAAAAGAAAAAACTATTACTATGACTTATAGATATTACTAGTCACGGGTGATTAAAAGGGACTAAATGTGGAAGTTGTATAATAGTCACGGGATGAAAAGTGGATTTTTTTCTAAAAATATTACGTAGTAACTAAAGTTATTTGTAAGATACTTTACGCTTTATGATGTTTGACCGAAGATAAAACAAATTGATCCCTGACAACACTCAAATTAGTTTTAGAAAATCAAGTTTACATATTCAGAAACTACATTAAAACCGCTACAAAACCTGCAAAAAAATAAATCAAATTTCATAAACTTTTGATATATAAAGTAAAAGATTAAGGGTGATTTATGTTGACTAAGTGAATAGTAAATGTATCTTATAAGTTGGGACTGAGCCACTGAGGAAGTATTTGATGGATATTCATATATATATCAACAAGGCTCCATATGCAATATATATATAAATATATAATAGCTAAATCCATATAAATCCATGAAATCAAATATGTATGAAATAAGATTAGAACAATACCTTGAGAATTCATTTGCATTAACACTTTAGGAAGAACCCAGAAATCCAAGATCGCTAGTAGGCTAAACCTTCCGATGCAGTGTATCGAATATGAGATATCCTAGTCCTATAATAGATGGGATATTTATATGAGTAGTTTTACATTGTAACGGTGGACCCTTGATTAATTCTAATAATTCTTTAATTATTGCTGCAATAATGGTATTATTTAGAATAATTTATTTGGCCATTTTCCGTTACAATATCTTTACTGTTATCTCTTAATTTACACGCACCGGGGGTCACAACCGTTGTATCACTTTAGTATAATATACTATCCTCCGTATCGCATTAATTGCAACATTGGAATATATACACTATTCATGTACTTTACTTTGACTACATTTTATTTATTAATGTAAGTGAATTATTTTTTTTGAAAAATATTGTTAAATTCGTCTCATTACTAAGTTTTATAATCTAATTTTTATTTTATTTTACTAATACAGAATTAAATATAATGACGGTCAAAGTTGTGTGTTGGTAAACGTGAAATGTTGACCGTTGCAACTAAAAAGAGACGGAGGAAGTATTTAATTTGACCGTCAACAAAAAAATCATATTATCCTGGTATCTACACTTTTATAACTTCATGAATGGCCACTGTATTATTTATCTGATGGTAAACACATTTTAATTAATTACATATTAGGTCCCTTTTATAGACAATATTTTGATAGAAAGTTTTGAGATCAAATGATTTGAGTTTTTTCCCGAAATGATGTTTATTAAATAAATACGAGTAATTCCCAAAATACTGCTAGGTTAAAAATAATTCCCAAAATAATGCTGGAATGGACCGTGGTTAGCAAAACTTTTTCAAGTGAAACTGAAAAATGGGCCCATAAAAAAACCCTTCATTTTAAATTGTTGTAACTTTTTCATTTGTGTTCGGATTGTTACAAAAAATATATCAAAATTTATAAATTTTTATTATCTTTCATATGACACTAATATTGCATATAAAAAATAAAAATGAAAAATTAGCAATTTCAAAAAACTTTTGTTTTTTAAAGTGTTGTAACTTTTTTATTTTAATTCTGATCGTTATAAAAAATATATCAAACTTCATGATTTTTAATTATCTTTCATATGACACCAATATTGCATATATAATAATGTAAAAATAATTTGGCACTTTAATAAAAATGTCTTTCATATATAAAAAAGTGTCAAATTATTTTCCATTTTTATATGTACAATATTGGTATCATATGAAAGATAATAAGAAATCATGAAGTTTGATATATTTTTTGTAATAATCGGAATTAAAATAAAAAAATTACAACACTTTAAAAATCAAAAGTGTTTTGAAATTGCTAATTTTTTATTTTTTTATATGCAATATTGGTGTCATATCAAAGATAATAAAAAGTTACAAATTTTGATACCGTAGTATATTTTTTGTAACAATCCGAGCACAAATGAAAAAGTTACAACAGTTTAAAATAAAGAGGGTTTTTTTTTTGGATGGGGCCCATTTTTCAATTTCACTTTGGCTGGCCGTATGCTTGCTTTGATCGATGGTATGCATGAGCCGCCACTTCAATTGGCGGTTTTGCTAACTATGGTGCATTCCAGCATTATTTTGGCAATTTTTTAAACCCAATATTTTGGGAATTATTTATTTAATAAGCATTATTTCGAGAAAAAATTCAAATGATTTTGATAAACTTATATAGACAACAATTTTTTAATTGCAGTGTGACGCAGAGAAATCTGTGCCTAGTTGCTCGAGTAACTATCCGAGATACACATGCTCTAATACCATTATGGATATGCCCCGATAATCAATCCGAATATGCTCTGGCCACCATCCCAGTTATTCTCCAGTAACAATTCTAGATATGGTCCAGTAATCAATCTGGATACGTCCCAGTAACCATCTCGGATATTTATCTAAGTTGGCCTGATCTAGAATTTGGAATTAAAGGACAATTTTTCTTTGGAGGAATTACTTTTGGATAATGTCCTATTGAGATATACTCCCTCGGTCCCGAGTTTTGGTCACTTTTAGTCCCTCGACTATTGTGTCAGTGACACTTTTGGTACTCGACTTTTAATTTTTTCACTTTTAGTCCTCGAATATTGTGCGAGAGACACTTTTGGTATCAGTCTTTGAAAATTTCCGTATTTAGTCCTTCGACTTTTGTAGAAGTGACACATTTGGTCCTTCAACTATTGCTATAGAGACATTTTTAGTCCTCCATTTATTGTGTCAAAATCATAGTAGAAGGACTAAAAGTGTCAATTTGATAATACTCAAAGGACTAAATGTGGGAAACTTGAAAGTAGAGGACTAAAAGTGTCTTACGAACAATAGTCGAGGACTAAAAATGGAAAAATTAAAAGTCGTGTACCAAAAGTGTCACTGACACAATACTCGGGGGACCAAAAGTGGCAAAAACTCCTCCGGTCCCTATTAAAGTTCCCAGTTTGACTCCACACAGATTAAGAAAATAAATTTGATTTTACTGTGGAGTGCACTGTTTGGACATTGTTTGACATTGTTTGACACTGTTTTGTTTCGTACAATGGAAGTGTGAACTTAAATAAGGAGCATCCCAAAAAGGAAAGTGAGAACTTTAATACGAACCGGAGGGAGTAGAAGTTATTCTGCTATTTGAACTTTATTTTTTCCTAAAATAACTATTTTTGCAAAAGTTATATTTTTGGAAAGTGGTGATTGGAATTGTTATTTTACTCTTATTGGGAGATTGTGAATTATTTAAAGTTTATAAATCCGTTTTT